CATCTCTCGTGATCACGCTCTTAGCAAGCGTGAGTTTCTGTCGGACGGAGCGGTCGGGGCAAAATGAGAAACTCCTGGAGTCAGCTGCTGGCTTTCCCTCCGGGAGAGAAAAAACAATTCCTTCCAAAACGTGACTGACCGAGATTTCCGCTCATTCTCCTCAGAGCTGCTGCAACTGCATATTGTACCCCACTCTATGTGCTCACCAGCTGTTGTGGAACGTCACAGCGTCCGTACCGTAGGAGGTGCGGAGATTGTTATCGGCTGTGACGGAACCGACGTGACTGTTAATGGCCAGGAGAGTCGTTTTCTCCAGGATTATCGTTTTGCCAACAACGGTTTCCTTTCCGCCGTAAATAAGGTGTTGGTACCTAACCAGGGTTAGTAGAATTACGCGCTGCGAGTCTAGCTGGATGTTTCGAACCTTACTCTGTCGCTCGGCGAACCGGTTGATTTTCCTCCGGGCACTCACTTTGTCGAGTTTCGAGAACAGTGAAAACGGTTTGGGATCTGATGAAACGCAAGGATCTCTCGCTGTTCGCCGACTTGGTCCGTCGGCACGGCTTGCAGCACTATCTCAGAGATTCAACCGTAACGCTGTTCGCGCCAGACAACGAGGCCATCAGATGGTAAGTGCTCGAGCTTTCTGGAGAGATCCCGCACAGCGACACTCGGAGCTCCTCGGAGTAAGCTCCAAGTCCGAGGATTTAGGCGTCTGAAGACAGTGAAGATGGATTACGTATCACTCCTCAAGAGGGGGAGAGCTCTCCGCGGTACTATTCTTCGGAGGATAAATTTCGTTTCGGTTAGACTCCTCCAGTGTCCGGCTGATGAGCGTTCAAGAATAGAAAAATATATTCTCCAAGCATCGGTCAAGCCCAATCGGATATCACCGCGGAATTTCTTCCTCCGAAGGGGGGAATAAGTGCTTGTGTACTCTCTGGCCCAGCCCGATACAATATGGAGAAACGCAGTGTTTTCTCTCTCTCGGCTGGCGGTATGATCAATGGGTGGAGATTCCATTTGCATAGACGAGTGCGGATGCGGGCACACTCGCGCAGCCCTATGCAGACACCTCAATTGTTCCTTCGCTATTCCGGATTGTTCCCACAACAATGGGCAGATTATCCCTGCCAGCTTTGCTTGCTCGTCTACTTGCCCTGCTGCATGGCTAGACGTCCATACCACTGAGAATCGAGTTTGGGAGAAAGGAGCGAGCTCTCAGGACGATCTGGTGGATTTCGCCGACTGTGCTTTCGACGGGCGAACGAACAAACGAGCGAGCGAGTCAGGCGTCGATCGATCCTTCTGTCTATCAAGGTCTCTTCCACTTGTGTAGTCAGCAATGTGTGCGCACAATACTTCATCTGTATCTGAGGCCGCAATCGCAAGTTGGTTCGCTCGACTGATCGGGTCGTACTCCCCTTGAGGCGATTCGCTCGCTTCGAAAAGCCCTCATAGGTTCATCCACCTCACGGGCCGAGCACGATCAAGACGGGAACGGGTGCCCAATTTTCCTCCGATCTGGTCTTATTGGCCTTGAGGGGGACGAACGGGAAAAGCCTAGGCACCTCGCAGCGTTCGCCGACTGACCAGCGGGCCGGTTGATTCCTCGCAATCTCTTGTGGATCCATCGCCTCCCGCATTCATTACCGGCATCGGAATCCATCAAGAACAAGCTCGTTATAGCCATGATGTTCCCGACCGGACTCGAATAAAAACTCACATCGTTCCGGCTTGTTGGCTCCTTATGTCTGACAGACGTTGTCGACACCAAGACGACTTACCGACAATCATATAATGTATACTCATCCTCAAATATTTCTACAGGTGGGCGAGGGTCAATCCGGATGGTTTGGATGACCACTTGGTGCCCGTCTCGGTGGACCGGGATTTCATCTCTAACCACATTGTCTTCGGGAAGTCAATCACGACTTCTGAGTTCGTCGATGGTAAAGCGTTATACTCGATTGAAGGGCATTCTATCATCAGAATGAAAGTGGCGCGCAAGGTGAGCCCCGTCTTAACGCCGAAACCCTCTTCAGGCCAATGGGAGCCCCATAGGAAGGGAATCATGCGATTCTAATGTAGTTCTTGGTCCTGGATTTCGTTGAGCTCCGACGTAACTCTAGAGAATATTGCTTTCAATTTCTTCGCGCTTTCGCTCTTCCGGAGGATCTCTCCTGTGGCGTTCCTCTCGCTGAGAAAACTTCTTTCTCACAGTGGTACGGCGTGGATTTAGCGAAGATTACCGACGCTGACATCGAAGGATCGAACGGTGCTTTGCACGTCATCGATCGCGTGCTCAGTCCTCGAAAGGTGCATCTTTCAGAATGGCTCGACAGGGATGAAAACGGCGGGTAAGCACATGGGTGGGGGAGGCCTCTATCGCCTCATAGCTCGTTGTCCGACATGCAGGTGGACGGCTTGACGAGCAACAGCGGAAACGGACCCGACTTTCTCTCGAGCCATAAATTTTCCGTCATATCGAGGCGTGTCTCGCAAAAGTCCGCCTCCCTGCAGTGGAATTCTCCCCCTTGTTGAGATCCTCCGGATCAACAAGTTTTCCACCATTCACCAGTGAACGAGGACACGACACGTCTACTATCCTATCCAGGCGTACGACACGAGGTATTTCGTTCGGCGAACGATCGTGATTACGTTCAGAGTACTCTGCGACGGGTGTCTTTCAAATCTTTCACGACGGGGAGCCTCCCTCTGACGGTAGTTCTAGAAGGGGACCTCGCTCAGCTCTCTGCTCACTTCAACGATACATAGCACAGATTTTGATGGGGAGAGTTCCCGTCATTCTGCTCTTCTGATGAAGCCCTGATCGAGAAGACTTTCAATTTCCTCTCGGTTCCCGTTCCCGGGACGGCAGCAGTTTCTGGCAGCGTTCCCGAGCTTATTGGAATCGAGCTGACGGAGCCATTTCATAACCTTCGCAGGAAGTTCGGGAGGTTGATTCGACGAACTCGTGCCGTCATGGAGGAACTCAGTCATCTGTCGAAAGCGAATGCTTCGGTGACGATATTCGCGCCGGAAGATGGAGCTTTCGAAGGTTTCGACGAAGACGAGGAATTGCCGACTCCTGAGAAGTTGGAAAACGTGGGCGAATCTCCTTTAAACTCCTGAGAAAACGTATTCGGCTCGGATCCCCCACGGCGTTTTATTTCACGTAGGCGTCTTATGTTTCAGTTCGTAAGGGGTCATATCGTCCACAATGACATTCCTCTCGGCACAATGACTCCGAACTCCACGTATTTGCTCACGTCTGAAGCTAAGCACTCTCTTCACGTCGTAAGCAAGCCCACGGCTCTCACTGTCAACGGGGCGAAGATCGTAAAGGCTGACGACCTGTTCGCGGACGGTCTCATGCATAGGGTGGACCAGATGTTCGTGAAACCTGATCCCAGGGCCAGCAGCCAAGTCAAGCGGCTCAATTCGCAGAGACGTCGAGCCGCGGACGCAAGGCGGCTCTAAGGCTCTTCCACACAATATTGTCGCTTATCACGTTCCCGTCGATCTGATACTCGGATCAGTCATTTTATATGTTACCCTTCGCTCTGCAATCGCCTTGCCTTCAGAATAAAATAGAGAAAGTCTTCAGGAAGAGAGTCTGATTGATGAGATTCACCCGCTGGTTTCTCTCTTCTGAAGGAGAATCGCTCTGCCGTCTCGTGACGTCACTCCTGAAGGAGCCTCCTCGGTCGGGATGCAGAATTGCCGTCAGGGTTCCTGACGGAGAGAAATCCAATAGTCTAATTTGTTGAGCCTTGATAGACCTGACCTCAGAAATTTGTCCTCATACCGGGGGAAAATCCGAGTCCGTGAACGTCCTCACAGGCTTCCGGCGCGGCGCGGTCGTGGGAAGTGAGCGATTCGAAGAACGGCTGCTCCCTCAGGTGTGCGACATTCCTCGCGAGCCCTCGAAGAGACAGGGACAAGGCCCTTGTGTTGCATGAGACATCCAACGGCTGCCGATCGATCAGAGAACAATATTTGACAAGCTGCTGGTATTCCTCCCACGGGCCGGCCTCACACTCGTCTGCCACGTGTGGACTGCACTCGATGCGATTACCCGCAGAGAGAATCAATTCCGACGGAGACACCTCCTCACGCTTGCCGTTCTGTAATAGTTCATACGTGGAACGAAGACCCTGTGGCCAGACGAGTGTCTTTGGTTGGATTTGCCTCCTCTGACTGCTGCTGTAGTGGTCTTCGCGTCACCGCAGCGGAAATTACCACAAATCGTCTATCTCCTGCCTACGCTGACGTGGAAGGGGGAACGCCGCACTACCACCCGGAGGGCACTCCCGGGGGGGTGGGAGGAGGCGCGGAAGGAGCTCTCGGTGATGGCAAGCGGCTCAAAGTGAATTTCCTGGAAATTTTCCACGAAGGACAGTCGTTCCGACGATCGCATTCCGGAGACTTAGAAGTTTCCTGGGGGATACCCGATTGCATTCTTGGCTCGGATCGCATCCGTTCGCGACGAAAACGGGACTCTCTTCGAGGAGCTCGGGCGATTGGGCGGCATTTCCGAAATCCGCCCAAGGCGGCGCGGCCCATCGCTAGTTAGGCCACCGGCGGAGGAAATCGGAAATTTGCCCGGCATTTATGCGGGACCAGGCTAGACTGCCATCACAACGAGGGAAGCAAGTTTCCTCTGCTTGAGACTACGACGGTGCGGCGCACCTGCGGGGCTGAGTTTCAGGGTCGGGGGGTAGCATCGGAACATGGGGTGCTCAGGAGCTCGGTAACGTGATTGGGCTCTCGTCGGGGTTCCCCGTGAGTTTCCCTCCAGGATTTCCGTTAGTTTTCGCCGATTTCCCTCTTAGGAGTGTCCGCCAGGCTCTTTGAGAATCTCCCTCAGGATTGTTCCCGCTAGGAGGTCCTTAGAAGAACGAGGAAACGGCCGCTCGTCAGAGCTAATTCGGTGAATACAACCCGATTGGGATGCACGGAGTGGTTGTACATGAAAACACGCTTATGTAGAACAGTAAGACGCGTGCATCGATCGCTACAAGTTCTACGGAGAAAGCCCTTCGGCGACTTCCCCCCACGATTCGACGTGAGACCGCCTTCGGAATGGAAGGATAAGGCCCCTCTTCATTGACGCTTCACCACGTCACGCGTCTCTCGTGGGGCATCCATGAGCAG